GAATTAGATCAAAGAGTGAATCACTGTAATTCTTTACCGCTGCAGATCCAACATGTCATGGAATATATTCCATGATGGAGGTTTCAAAAGGGTCTTCTCAGTACACCAATAACAAGAATGTGATGACGAATGTAGTGCTAGCACATTATTCAAGGAAGGCTACCGTGGAGGCATCCTCACTCAGAGAAGTTAGCGAGTGGATCCTTCATTTTTCTTTTTTTTTTTTTTTTTGTTCAGCTCCACAGAGCTCCTTTCTTTTTCTTTTTCTTTTTTTTTTTTTACAAATAGTTTATTGTCAAATTATTTTCCACATAACACTCAGTGCTCATCCCCAAAGTGCCCTCCTCCATGCCCATCCCCCCTCCCCCCACATCCATCAGTCCTCAGTTTTTGTCAGCATTCAAGAGTCTCTCATGGTTTGCCTCTCTCCCTTTCCCCCACCATTTCTGCCCTTCTTCTCCCCCTTGTTCCTCCGTCAAGTTCCTCCTAATCCTCCTATACGTGCAAACATATGATATTTGTCCTTCTCTGCCTGACTTATTTCGCTCAGCATAACACCCTCAAGGTCCATCCATGTTGCTACACATGGCCAGATTTCATTGTTTCTCCAAAGAGGACATGCAGATGGCCAACAGACACATGAAACGATGCTCAGCATCCCTCCTCATCAGGGAAATACAAATCAAAACCACACTGAGATACCACCTCACGCCAGTCAGAGTGGCTAAAATGAGCAAATCAGAGAACTTCATTTTTCTTTTAAATGTTTGTTTTTGATAATAAATTCTTGTATTTCAAAAATTTAAAGAGTGAATTTTCCTCATGCCTGCCCCTACCCACCAATCCTCTGCCCCAGAGGCAACCAATATTATCGGCTTTTTGTGAATCTCTTCAGAGATACAGAAGCAAAGGAAATGCTCTCTATGGGAATGTATCCTTCCAGTGTTGACTGATACATCACAGTGGGGGAGATTATCTCTGGATAAAAAGGTGCCCGGGCAGAGAGAGCAGGGCTGTCTTAACCCTTTTATTAAACACTCTAAATCCACAGGGAGTTAACAGATTTAGGTTTTGAATGGCAGGCTTACTTGATATAAGGAGATAATGTCTGGCACTAATAAGAAGAGCTAATAAGTGAGCTGTCCTCTATCTAGGTTGCATTTAAAGGGCTAGGGAATGATCTGAGGCCTGTATGCTCTCTCCAAGGGGCTGCTGCTAAGAGCAACATCATTTTCTACATAGGCAATTTTCTACATGTACAACATTACCATATTTTGGTTTTATTTTGATTAAACTAAGCGGTGTTTACCAAACCTTTTTCCTCTTAAAAGAAATACTGAAAACAATGTGAAAATCATAAGCATGATTTATATAAGTCTTAGAGCCAAAATATTTCTCTATTGGAATGCAATTCTAATGATGTAATACAAATTAATGCAAAAATAGCAGTAGACATTTGCTTTGCTGCCAGGTTTTAAAGAGTACTTAAGCAAGGCATATTTATCTTAGTGATATGAATATTTAATTTTTCTATATTTGGACAGACATTTTACAGGCGTTAATCAATATAGTTTTTGGGAAACTTTTAAAGCTTACCTTTGTTACCATAAAAAAAACCCTATAATTTTCTTTTGAAATGCAGCTCATCCCTATTTACATCTATTAATATTTACTTAAACAATAAAGACATCAATAGACTTTTATAGTATACAACAAGTATACTCTAAATTTCTGTAGATGAGTAAATATAGAAAAGTAGCCAAGGGAATTTTGAAGGTAAAAAAATATGCTATTAGATATAAAAACATACCACAAAACTATTCTAATTAAACAGTGTGGCACAGTGCAAAGATAAACAATAGCTCATTAGAGCATAATAAAGAATCTGGGGGTGCCTGGGTGGCACAGCCAGGGAGCATGTAACTCTTGATCTCAGGGCTGTGAGTTCAAGTCCCACACCGGGTGTGGAGCCTACTTAAAAAAAAAAAAAAAAAGAATCCAGGAACTGATCCATGTGTATATTAAAAGAAAACTTTCACATCAAGGGAGAAATAAATGGGGCGACTGACTACCGATTTAGAACAAAGTAAAGTTAGTTACTCTCTTTAATCATACATCCAGACAAATGCCCAATGGATGAAAGATCTAAGTATAAAAAAAAAAAAGCATATATAAGAACTGAAGATAATAGATTTAGGATCTTGGCCTTCTTCCATAAGACACAGAACAATGAAGTAAAAGTAACAATTCAGACACATTTGAACATGCAAAGATTTAAACAAAAGACCATTAAAAAAAGTTAGAAAGTTAACAATAAATTGGGGGAAAGTATGGTGACATATGTAATAAAAAGCCAGTATTCGCAATATCTAAGGAGTTTTTACTTATCAATATGAAAGAAACAACTCAAAAGAAAATTAGTAAAAGTAAATAAAAAATGTAAATGGTCAATAAAGTTATGTACAGATACCCAACCTTATAGAAAAAAATGAGATATTATTGTTCATTCTTTAGACTATAGACCCCTCACCACCACCACCCCTGCCCAGCCCCACCAGTGCTAATGAGAGTGATACACTAGGGGATGCTCCTAAACTGCAGGTTACAGAATAGCATTTTACGAAATTTAAAAAATACATCTCCAGTGACCTAGCAAATCTACTCATGGGACTATGATAGAAATACTGGCATGTATGCGAAAGGATTTATTTACAAAGAAAGTCAAGGTAGCATTGCTTTACTAATGAAACACTACAAATTTCATAACATCCATCAAGAGAATAAATGTTCAATAACTTATGGTATATTATCTACAAAATGCCATAAAGTCATTCAAGTGAATGAGATATACACTAATATGGAAAGATTTTCTAGGGCCTATTTTGTGTGGGACTCAGAAGGTATACAGAAAGGCACATGTGTACAAACACATAAGTCATACACACACACACACACACACACACACACACACACGTTTGTAAATGCACAGAAAAATGACCAGAAGGATGTACACCAAAATTTTCTTGGTGATTACCTATGAGAACTGGGATGAAGTTGGGGAAGGATGGAGCAACGGAAGTTTTCATTTTTACTGTATGGAGTTTTGTACTGTTTGAATGCTTAATTAGAATATATTGGTCCATTACAAATATATATGCAAAAAAATAAATGACCTTTACTCTCTTTGCAGCCTTTTTTTTAAAAACTTGTTCATAGCACACAATAGAAAGAACTTCCTTCAGTATACATTTTTATTTTTTATAAACAGAACTTCCATAGAAATGCATTTTAAAAATTTAGTTATTTTCTTTTGTAGTTGAGTCTTCATATAATGTTATCAAATGAAAACGAGGTAATCAGGATCTCTATGATTTCTAGGAAAACTACACAGAAGTAAAGCTATCCTGAATGATAAAGAATAGGTTGAGTGCAGTCACTCTATCTCAGGGGTCAGGACTCAAAAGCACAAACATGTGCGTGCGATCTTTCCAGTTACCCGGAGGTCCCGCCAACTCGATGTCACCATAAATATTCAGCCACCTTATTATGATCAACTTTACTGGAGACGTATGGCCACAGGTGTCAAATATCAGCATGAACTTTCGCTGACCTCAGAAGTGGAAGGGAGAAAAGGAAGGGACAAATAGGTACGGCTTGAAATGGGCATGTAACTGGTCCAGGGGTAGATCAGCGTAGGATGCAGCCCTCAAATAGAGAAAAATCCTATACATTTGGATGGCTAAAAGCCCTGAATGCATTTACAAATAAACATGATATAGGAGGAAACAAAACAAATAAACCTCCCCTAGGAGAAAGGGGGAGTTTCTTCTGCATACCAGACATTACTGTAGAAGCAATAGCTTTGGGGCAAGGAGGCTCTCGTCAACTTTAGGGAAGGAATTTGCTGTTATATTATGAAGTTATACCATGACTTCCTTTATTATAGGACATGCTCAGGATGGAACAGCTCACCAACAGGAGCCACTGCAGACAGAGTGGCACTATAATGTATGGCTGTCCTGCAGAGGCTGCTTCTAGCAGCCAGAACCAGTATTTGCTTTCCAGAAAGATCTACTGTGGTCTTCTTCATGTAATCATATGTCCTGGTGTGTTTTTTAAGAATTCAATTTTATTTTAATGTTTTTATTTATTTTTGAGAGAGGGAGAGAGACAGTGTGAGCAGAGGGGAGGTAGAGAGAGAAGGAGACACAGAATCTGAAGCAGCCTTCAGGCTCTGAGCTCTCGGCACAGAGCCTAACATGGGGCTCGAACCCATGAACCGTGAGATTATGACCCAAGACAAAGTCGGACGCTTAACCGACTAAGCCACCCAAGTGCCCCAACAATTCAATTTTTAAAGATTTAATTGGCATGGACATTTTTGGGAATATACATGCTATATAAAAAAAAAAGAAAAAGAAAGAAGAGCACATAAATCCATTAGAGAGAAATAAACAGAACACTTATTAAGTGGTGGTAGTGGGGGGAGGGGCGGGTGGTCAGACTGTATGATCATATTCAGGTCCCTTCTGGTTTCAGCAGAAGAATAAACTGAGTTAAAAGGATAGGATTACTGCAATCTTCCACAGAACCAGTGAAAACTGGATTCCTAGTCTAAGTTATATCTTCTAAAAACTGAGTTTCCATCTTCTCTAGGTTATGTCTACTGTGACCCCAAAGCAGACACATAGGTGCCCATTGCGGCTCTTTCCAGCATCTGTTCTGGGCATAAAACTTCAACGGAGTCTCTTTAAGGACAGAATAAATGATCCTAATGCTTTTCTCCTGGCCCAGAAAATAAAGCTAAGAAAGAAACCCAAACATAGCCCTTTGGAATGATTCAGACTCCTGTGAAAGAAAAAACAGAACAAAACAAAAAAAGGCTTAATTTTAGAAATGTTCGTTAGATGGTGTTAGGCTCATCTATATTTAAAAAAACTTTTAGTTGTGGTAAAATACACATAACATAAAATATGCTGAATTGCATTTTGCCCACCTACCTTGTAAACTGTCGACTCTCTTCATGAACTTCCATTTCTGTGCTTTTAAATTCATTTAGTTCTTTCCTTATTGCTGCCTAGAAAAGAGATAAACAGAATTGTAATTAGGTCACATATTTCCTTAGCATAACAGCGTCAACAAAGCAGACATTCTTTTAAGAAATGTCTTGCAAAAAGTGATTCTTAATTTCTACTAGGTCTTTACCTAGTAGAGGTAAGATAAATGTAGTATCTTACTATAGCCAAAATAAAACCAGGTCAGATTTCCTTCAAGTGTCATTGACAAGGAGGAGAGGAGAAAAGGCCTTTGCTAAACTCATTCTGGGGCCTGGTCTATGAGTCACACACATCCCCCACCCTCAATGACCACAAGGATAGCGCAGGTCATAAGATTTTCTCAGAAATAATATCATTTTCCTATGAAAGTTCTACATTTCACATCACGTACAGCGACATGGCCTTGAGTAGCTGCCACTGAACTTCTGAGAAGTCAGTTTGCTATTTATTCTATAATATTGAAAGTTCAGACAATTAGAATGAAAAATTTCAGCACAGCACCTAAAGCTACTTGGAAAATGTGTACTAGAATGTGATTACTGTTACTATGTAACAAACACATAACCCATGTCATGTAAATGTTGGGATTTGAAGAGATGCTTATGTCCTTCAGGTTGAAATGCTGAAATAATCATAAGAACGTTAATGTGAGTTATCTATTAACAATAGTCATTAGACCATGGATGATTTCTGGTTTCAACTTAGTGCTTATCTTTTTTCTTTAGTTTATTTATTTATTTGGAGAGAGACAGGGAGAGGGAGAGAGGGAGAGAATCCCAGGCAGGATTCACACTGTCAGCGTAGAGACTGATATGGGGCTTGAACTCATGAACCGAGATCATGATCTGACCTGAAATCAAGAGTCAGACGCTTAACCAAATGAGTTGCAGAGGCGCCCCAACTTTTGCCTATCTTTATTTCCTAATTTCTCTACAAAGAACTTTTCTCTCATGTAAATAAAAAAAATATTAATAAAAACATTCCCATATCCCAACCTCTATGAGAAATGGACTCTTCAGCCAAAACATAGAATAATATTACAAACCACAGAGTCTTGACTGAGAGATAAGAAAATCTACTATGTGGTTGGAAAAGGATGAATTTTAGAAAAGGGAAGAGAGAGGAGGAAGCCTGGAGGCCTCTCTCTAGTTTTCTCCCATCACTGACTGTCACTCTGCAATATACAAGCTTTCCCCCAACATGCTCTTCAACGTTATATTTAAATCTCGTCGTCATACTGTCTCATCTCCCTACATGTATTCCTTAGCTGCTCTAGTTTCTATGGGGAACCTGTGGCTGGGAGCTGTGGCAAGAATTCTTGCTACCGAGTCCTGAGACACATGAAGCAAGCAGAGAGATGTTTGTGGGCCTGAGTCCCCTGTGCGAAGACCATACATCTTGTCTCCCAAGGGAGATCAACAGTGAGGAAACTTTGTTGTACTCAGTGTAAATATTGATACCTAAACCAGGAGCTCAAGTAGTGAATATACCCTATACCAATTGCCAATTAGCATCTATCAGAAAGACTTCCTTGAAAGGGAGTATTTTAATAATAGAGAGTGGTAGACAATTCTGTCTCCATGTTCATTTTAATTTTCTCCTCTGAGTGTAAGATTTCAGTAAAGAAGTAGAGTGGTACACTTGGGTGTCAGAAGTCATGGGTTGTAGTCTTGCCCTTATGCCTTCAATAGCAGTGGCCCTCAGTAAATTATTTTGCTCCAAAACTTGTTTTCCCCTGGAAAATGGGGATAGGAATTCCTCACAGTATTACAAGACTCAAGAACATATGCGGGGGGCGCTTGGCTGGCTCAGTTGGTTGAGTGACTGACTCTTGATTTTGGCTCAGGTCATGATCCTGGGGTTGTGGGATCAAGCCCTGTGTCAGGCTCCACACTAAGCATGGAGCCTGCTTAAGATGCTCTCTCTTTCTCCCTCTCTCTCTCTGCCCTTTTCCCTTGCTCATGCTCTCTCTCTCTAAAATAAAAAGAAAAAAAGAAAGATCTGTCTTTTTGGAGCTTGTACTGAATGCAATATATTTAAAATTAAATATTTAAAAAAGAACATATGTGAAAGTGCTTTATATGCCAAATATTAAAAAAATGTCATTATTGTGAAACTTTCGAAAGACGAACTAGACTTTAGTTTATGACTGTGACTAACAACTCTTTCATTGTTATTTGGAGAGTCTACTACATGCAAGATAATGTCACTGAAGGGGACTCAAAGACAAAAAGGCAAAGTTCTTCTTTTCAATAGTAAGTTGGCTACCGATATAGGAATCTGGCAAAAGTCAATGAAAGCATTCTTTTAGGATCATTTGGGATATCGAATCCACAAAAAGAGTACCAGATCGTTTATTTTTAATTGTACATTGTGCGCTATGCGTCCCTTTGATTAGTAACATTTACAATTTATTTATAACCATATATATATGTATTCTTCCTGAGAAATTAAGTTCGAGACTCTCGGGCATATCCTACATGCACATCTGAATTGTGACTCTGTCATTCCCTCATCAAGAGGTGCAGTCTTTAACTCCAGCCTTGAATCTGGATGAGTCCTGCTACTACTTTAAACAAGAGAACACATGGGGCACCTGGGTGGCTTAGTCGGTTAAGCATCCGACTTTCGCTCAGGTCATGATCTCGTGGTTCGTGGGTTCGAGCCCCACGTCGGGCTCTGTGCTGACTGCCAGCTCAGAGCCTGGAGCCTATTTCAGAGTCTGTATCTCCCTCTCTCTCTGACCCTCCCCTGCTCACGCTGTCTCTCTCTCTCTCCCCTAGAAAAAAAAAATTAAGCAAGAGAACACAACGGAGGTGAGGCTGTGCCAGTCTGGGACGTAGCCCTTAGCTGGTTTGGCATCTTTTGTCTCCTTCTCCTTGGAAGTCAGCTGCCATGTAAAAAATGTGACTGATGTCAGGAGACCACACTGTGGGAAAGTCAAGGTACAGGATGAGGCCAGGGAGGATGAGGTGCCATGTGGATGGAGAGAGAGGCCAAGGAGCAATAAGGCACAGCTGTGACAGTGAAGGAGCCATCTTGGAAGTGGCAAACACAGTTAAGATGGTTAAGTCACTAAACAGTTGATAACCTGAACACTGTTTCATCTTACAAATGACAGAATGGAGGCACTGAGAGATGGAGTGACTTGCTAGATATTAAAAGGGTGTTAAGGGACAAAAATGGGGCTGATACGTAGGCCTTTTACTTCAAGTCCCACAGTCTTTCTAATGAAATGAGCATCAGAGCCTAAGTCATACAGATAATTGCTTCAGACTTCGATGTTGTGTGTACCGGTTGTAATTAGGAACAATGAGTCAGTTACAGGCAATGAATACGATGTGAAATTACAGGGAGTGATTATTTAAAAGTAGATATCAGCAAGAGGTAACTACTGTCAATTAAAGAAATGCAATACTCTTTTTAAAAATTCGCTGCCGAACCACCTCTTATACTCCAAGAGTTGCTTCCTCTTACTATTTAAAGATGGTTATGATAGGAAAAGAGGAATTAAAGATGCTTTATGTTCAGAAAATATACGTGCAATAATCTTAACTCCCTTCTATGCAAATGAGACCAGAGTCTAGGCCTAATGACTTTTCCCATAAATGTAAATGGGACTGTTCTGTAGAAAGACACAGGATAAAAGAGTTAGGCTGCTGTAATGAGATTGGAGCCTGAATGGTGCTGAGCCAGACCCAAAACTGGTAAGTCACTGAGCTGAAACCAGGTATTTCTTTTTTTTTTTTTTAATTTTTTTTTATTAAACTTTTTTTTTAAATGTTTTTTATTTATTTCTAGGGGGGAGAGAGAGAGAGAGAGAGAGAGAGAGAGAGACAGCATGAGCAGGGGAGGGTCAGAGAGAGAGGGAGTCACAGACTCTGAAACAGGCTCCAGGCTCTGAGATGGCAGTCAGCACAGAGCCTGACGCGGGGCTCGAACCCACGAACCGTGAGATCATGACCCAAGCAAAAGTCGGACGCTTAACCGACTAAGCCACCCAGGCGCCCCTGAAACCAGGTATTTCTAAGATTAAAACAAAACAAGCAGCAGGAGACAGCACTGAGAGCAATTACACAGCATTTTTTGGTACCATGAGAATAACAGAGAGGAAAGAGGAAACAAAAATGACTGAAATGAAGTTTAAAATTGACTAGTGAGGACCAGTGACGGAAGGTCTGCTTAATCTCCTCCCGTCAGCTAAGGGGTCATCCTGGCCAGGAACAACAGGTAATTTGTTGAAAATGTGGGCTCTGCTACCTTCTCAAATTGCATGAGCTCGGAGTCCAGGGTTAACTAGAGCTCCCATCATTTGATGCTTTTTTGCTTATTTCTTTGGTAAAAATCTGATGTGGAACAAGGAGGGAATTTCTTGACTACTCATCAAGCTCGACGCTATGCGGAAGTGAGTGTACTCTTCATTGCTGCCAGGACAATCAGAAAGAGGCCAAGAATATCTCGGCAGAGAATCAAAATCTCAGTCTTTCCTGTGACCTGTTTAGATAGTGCATTCTTGGAAGGGTAGTATGTTCATCTTTATGTCCCTGTTATCTATGACAGCTCTATTTTATGATTTTATTTTATTATGTTAAGTTTATTTATTTAAGAGAAAGAGAAAGAAAGAGAACAGGGGAGGGACGGAGAGAGAGGAAGAGAGAGAGAAGCCCACACAGGCTCTACGCTGTCAGCGCAGGGCCCGACACAGGGTGCAAACTCATGAACCATGAGATCATGACCTTAGCAGAAACCAAGAGTCAGATGGTTAATCAACTGAGCCACCCAGTTCTTTTTTTTAAAGTTTACTTATTTATTTTGAGAGAGAGAGAGAGAGAGAAAGAGCAAGCGAGCATGAGTAGGGGTAAGGCAGACAAAGAGAATCCCAAGTAGGCTCCTCACTGTCAGCAGCACAGAGTCCATTGTGGAGTTCAATCTCACAAACCATGAGATCATAACCGGGGTCAAAATCAAAACTCAGTCATTTAACCTACTGAGCCACCCAGGTGCCCCCTAGGACAGTTCT